CCTTGTCTTATGGCAACCAGTCAGACTCGGCTGCAGATTTCGGTCAAGATCTGATGAAAATAGCTGTGTCGGTAAGAAAAGTCAATTTTAATTCCAATTTTTGATTTAATTTGTAGAACTGAAGATTGCCAAATTTAATTCATTTACAATACGTTAGCTTTTCTTACTTTGTACAGTACTGAAACAGTAAATAGCTGACGCTTACAGATGCGTAAGGAAAAGTAATCATACGTCAAGGGGTTAATTATCTTCGGCAATCGTCAGTCGGATAAGTTAAAACCAAAGTTAGAAATAAAATTAATTTTCGTTACTAATATAACTGTTTTAAGGGGCTAAACGTGAATATATTAAGTCTATGCAAAAGTTTCCATCGCTTGTAAATCAAAAGCACTAAAAGGCACCGTATGTTTCTCTTCTTTTTTAAATTTTCACAGTTGGTATTTGTGACGATAAGTGTACAGTATTGATATTGTATTATTATTATTTTAGTATCGATTAATTACAGATACATTAAAAAATAAACACTTCTATTGATTTGATCGGTGTTTTTTTTAATTAATGGTGAATATTTTTAAAAATGAATAGTTTGGTCGATATAAATAATTAAATCTCATTTTGTCAGCACAATTTTGTTTTTTGGTCAATAAAATTGAAATTTCTATTCTTTCTAAATTTATTTTATCTAAAATTCTGACAAATTATCATATTTACTAATATTCTAATGAAAATACTGACAGTTTTTCTATCAATCCATATAATACTGACCACTTATATTAAATACTAATTAACAATTTTCTAAAATACCGACCCAATAAACAGCAGCCAAAAATAAACACACATTCCCCAGAAAAACACGATGGGAACTTCTGCACAGACCCAATACTATTCTCGTTCAGTCTTCAGTTTTGTGATTGAAAAAAAAAGAAGAAGAAAAATACGAAACACTCGAATTTCTTTTTTCGAGTACGCATGCAAGGAGTACGGTCGATTGAGTTTGAAATCTGCTTGAACCGGTACTCGAACATCGATCCAACCAGAACGGTAGTATACTTCATACCGGTGAAATAATCAAACGGAGAGCCGGCACAGCCGGGATTAGAGATAGAAAGAAAGGGATTTTGTCACCTGATTTTCGCAAAAAAAAAAGAAACACAATGCCCGTATGAACACGCGGACAGACATGAAAAAAAGTGCTACTTCCTCTGCTATATACATCAAAGCGAATTCGATGAAGCAGCATGTCAAAGCTTCGGGTAAAGAAAGTGCTTGCTTCGAGTGCCTTTCCACTAAATTCGATAGCACTTCGTACGAAAAGCTTAAAAAGGCTATTTTTATTGAGTACGAAATTCGCAAGTCAACGACGCCAGTTCGGAGGCGTCGTAAATCGATATAAAAAAAAAAATAAGAGAGGTAGAAAAGAGAGACACTGTTCAGTTGTTGATTTCGATCTCGTTTTTCAAGTGCATCCTCGGCGACTCGTGAGAAATAATAAAAGCGTTGCCGAGTTGTGTTCCACTGTGAAATGAAATCGGTTCGAACTTTCAGAATTGTCCGAGTGTTTATTGTGAAAACAATTTAACGTGAAATCAAGTCGAATTGGATTTCAAATTATTCCAATAGAGCCACTGCGATGGGAAATGATTGAAAAGCGTGTTAGACCGATTTTCAGAAATTTTGAAACGAAACGAAGGGATTTAATTCGAGACTCAAGTAGAATTGGATTTCATATTATCGGGATAGAATTACCGTAACAGAAAATTATCGAAAAGCACGGTATATTGGATTTCAAAATTTTCTATGCTGGAAATATAACCGCGAAATTAAGTTCCATTCAATTTCAATACGTTACGACAGGGGTCGGCAAACTGCGGCCCGCCATCAGTTTTTGTATGACCAGTTGTGTCTATGATCCAAGAATCAGATTTTTTCATTTATTTCTCTTATCTCTAATTTCTTATCCATTTATTTCTCTTTGATAAATGTGTATTACAAATAATATTGCAAATAAAGGATCCGTCAAAAAATTTTCATTTGTAGTTAACTACCTACACACATACACTACCGGCCAAATGTTTGGAATCACTGTGCATTGCAAGTTGCACAAAAATTTGCCAAAAAGGCTAGCATTTATAATAATTTTCCAACCAATTTTCTTATCGTTCAAATCAATCGAAATGAGGTAAAGTGCTATTCATCTCCACAATATCAATTTCAAATCAACAAAGAATTAGTAGCAGATTCAGTATTAATATAAATTGGCAGGTGATTCCAAGCTTTCGTCCGGTAGTGTACACACGCAACAATCTCAATTTCCTCTCTTGGCCCACAAAGCCAAAATATGTTTAGTATCTGGCCCTCCGGAAAAAAAGTTTGCCGAGTTACGGTACAAATATGTTGGTTCTCGTGTAAACAGTAAGAATAATTCAAACTATCAGAAAGAAACAGGCTATTTTTATAATTAACTCATTCGACTATTTACATCGTCTGTTCGATTAACGAGCAATTTAATTGCTGACCATTTATTATCAACTGGTTTAGGAGCATTCATAGCTCGAATCTTAATTCTCAGACGTTGAATTATTAATGAAGTCTCGAATTGTCCCAGCCAAGTGAAATGTGTCATTTTCGCAGTACGACACCGACGGCGCCAGATGCGTGAAACTCGAGCATGCTGATCTGGATGAGAAGGACATAGCGATGATAATCGATTGTCACAACGTTTATCGCAATACTGTGGCAAACGGGGACGAGCAACGTGGAAATCCAGGCCCGCAACGTCCAGCGAAACACATGATGGAACTGGTTTGGTTCAGTCCTGATTGCTTTCCTAGATATTAGTTTATTATTCAATATAAACAGTTTGCCGACCGTGCAAATTGCCCAAATAGAACGGAGACAGGTGATTCTTAACCCTTTCGCTACGTAACGTGGACGACTGACGGTAAATATTTAATCAAGGCTGGGAAATTTGGCGATATTCTGGTAAAATTTGATTTATTACGCTAAGGTGGAAGTGTGGAACGGGTAGAACTGAGTGTTAAATTAAGGCGAAAGTGCATCGAGTGGCTGGAACAGTATTGTGCGAGCAAATTTTTGAAACGCCTACTGGCGCCAATAGTGATCAAAGGGTTAAAGATGGTAAACATGAGACACAGGCTGCACGAAAGGAAGAAAATGCAAAAAAAGAAGTTTCCAATTTGTGCAGATTCTGGGCTTAATGTCTAATCGCTTTGAAAAATTTTTCATTTGAAAATGCTGAAAGTTTAAAATTTGGAGTTTACATTCTAGATAAAGGAGGTATGAGAAAAAATTCTGTTTGTGTGTGCAGAAGTCTGTTGACCTAATTATGTTGAATACTTCGTCCTGTGTACAGGACTTGAAATATACGGGATAGACAGTGCTCGTGAAATATTGTTACATCTCAGTGTCGCTTCGAAGTCGTAACTCAGATATTTTAAAACGTATTTCGACAAGACTGTAGGCATTTTAATGGGAAAAAGTAAATGCTATCGAGGAAAAAATACCGGTGACCTTAAAAAATCCGAAAAATATGCCTTTCTGCGCGCAAATATCGGCGACCTTAAAAAATTCGAAAAGCATGCCTTCCTGCACAAAAATACCGGCGACCTTAAAAAATTCGAAAAGTACACTTTCCTGTAAAAAAATACCGGTGACCATAAAAAATTCGGAAAAAATGGAAAGAAAATTCCTCCCGCACCGTGTTACCAAAAATTTTCCAGTATCGTTCGAAGTAAAACAGACATTTATTTTCTATTATTCCTTAATTCTGAACTTTTCTGGTAATTCTGCCAAACGTCAAGCGATGTAAATAAATAACAATCTGGTTTCAGTGTATTCTGTAGCAATGTAACGCATCGCCAAGTAGAGAGATTTTCACGACCGTTCAGCAAACTGTTAATCATTCGTATCAGAGTCTGATGGCGATATTTGTTTCGACAGATTTGGGATGACGAACTTGCTCATATCGCGAGACGCTGGGCGGTGCAGTGCAACCTCCTCGAAAAAGATCAGTGCCGAGACGTTGGCAAGTAACTCCTACGGATATATCCCATTTTTCATTCCCCTTAGTCGTTCCTATCATTTTTCAATATCCACCGGGTATATATTCCAACGAGAGATTGTTCCGTCTGCAACGCGATCGATGTCTGTGCGTTTCTCCATCTTCCTTTTTTTTCTTTCCTGCTTTCTTGTTTAGGCACAGTTTATTCCCCCTTTTTTCTGTATCGCTATGTTTCTTAGCTTTTGTCTGCTTTGGCTTGATTTCAATTTATAATCGAAAACCGCAGAACTGATGGTCGCGCTTGCAAAAGGTCCATTTGGTTTATTGCTCGTCGCGATGGGTGCTCTTGAGTGCCCCGATTCATTTCTGGCGATGTAGAAACGATTATCGATGTTAAAATGATTCCGAAATGTCTGGCCGAGCTTTGGTAAAACATTTCACAGATTTTTGAAGGTGAAACAGATGTAAATTATTCGTCAAACGAAATTGGATGTTGATACTTTGATTGGTGATCGAAATTTATCACGTTTTAATTAATTTTGATGTGAGAATATTTTTAACCTGTCTTTCTCAATTTTTTTCTGTAGTGATTTCAAAACTTTTTCGTAAATATTTTCCGAATTTCGTGGAAATCGTAATAATTTGGGTTGTAAAAGCTGCAGTGAAACATAACGTATAAAGCTCACATGGCAAGAAAATTGATTTATTTTACGATTGGTGATATGTAAGCTTGGGAAAATTTGTATTCTCTCGTCCGTATGTGATTTGTACATACAAAAAGTTTGGTTGCTCCACTTTAAGCTTCCCATAAATTTTTAATGATTATTTTCAATTAATACTTCAGATATTATTACTAGAAACATTATTTCATTATCATAGAAATAACCCCCCAATAAGACGAGCAATAACAATATTTCAAAATTAATACGTCTTCCAATTTTTTTTTTTTTGTATAACAAACAAGATTTACCAATTTAATAAATTTATCGTGGATGATCAAAAAAGGAATAAAAATTTTGATAATACCTACATTTGTGAATGTAACACACATACACATACATGCAGTAAGAACCAAGATAGTAAGCCATACCAGTGCTAAAAAGAAGAAAATAAATAAAATAAAGTTAATAAATCTCCTCTGCAAATACCTCAATTTTTATCTACTGTATTTTCTATTATTTACCTCTCATTTCCTTGTACAGCTTCGAAACACTTTCAAAAACCCCGCCCGCCCACTCCCCTGAACTTCGACGTCAATCAGCCGTTCGATCTCTCGAAATCATATCGACGAAGCATGCATTTCTATTCTCGCGAGATGAATCCTATACTTGTTCGCGCAAAAATCGGTGGTTCGGTGTGACGAGGTCTAGTTTCAGTAGTGAGGAAAAAAGAAAGGAACGATTCGATCGATTCGACCGATGAATTTAATCGGCCTACGTGTTAAGGGAATGTACGAAACGTCGAAAACGATTCGCATGTGTTTCCTTTGTAGAGCGATTCGATGTGTGGCAGAACGTGCACGTGCTCGATATGAACAGCGTGGGAAACGTGACGTCCAGCGCTAGAATTCACTTTCATATTCAATCATGGTACGACGAAGTAGAAGACTTCGATTCCGCGGAATTCGGGTAAGCTCGCACTGCACACTTTCGCACGAGTTTTAAAGCCACGCCGCTTTTCGCGCTCGCTATTTTCCTTCGTTTTTTCCTCTGTGCTTCCGGCGTTGTTCCTTTTTCCTTTCCGTTGAACTATTTTTTGCGCGCGCTTTTTTTGCTCTTTCCGTGTGTACGGGGCTTGCTTCAGTACCGAGATTCGCCTCGGATTTTTCATGGACGTAGAGTGACTAGTGAAAATTTGCAAATCTGATTAGAGAAGGATTAGAACGGGCTTAGCTTCTTGAGTGTTCGAATTAAAGTGATTATATTATCTTTTATCTAAAGAATTGTGTAATTGTGAAGTGTGCATTTTGGAGAATTGTTCGACCATGTAAGACTGCCAAAGTCTAACCTAACTTTGCTGTAATGTTTCGTCGTGTTTAACTGTAAGTACTACGTCGTTCTATTTTCTTACTTTCTCACTTCGTATTTACTTTGTTTTATTCATTGATAATAGAAATGGATCTTTAAATAACAGAAAAGAGATCTTTAATAATAAATTGTTTCTATAAAGAATTTGTCATGTTGCCTTTTATAATTAGTATCTACAAATCATTATAAGTGGTGTTATTACAGGTTATGTTGTTAACGAATTGAAAGTAAATATTTGTTTACTCGGTATTACAACAAGTATAGCTTTAGTTTTTCCATTTTCTTTTTACTATCGTATCTTATAATATTGAACATTTTTCTCTAGTGTAATTGAATACTTCGTAAGACGTAATTTCATGTTTAGCAAACTTCTTATCATTTTGCAGTAACAATTACTACGTTACACCTCTATTTATAGATCTTTGACACTTCAAGAATGTTAAAAAATAATCCGTCAACGTCTTACAATTTATTTTAACCCTTTCATTTGTCACATTGATTTCTCTCTTTTCGCCCATAGTTTTATTTTAAAAGCAATCTTGAAAGTTCTTAATAGCTCTTCGTTTCGTCGACAATTGCGAAGCAGAATAATCGAAACGAGGTTTTGTTACCCGAGATATTCCTTACTTTTTCCTTTACACTGGAAGAGGTCAAAGTGCCGAAATAGTACGGCAAATTCTTATATAAATAATAATATAATTTTACTGCAGGTTCTCTGAATTGAAATGTCATTCTGCAGTTAATGCTCGAATTAAGTAACTCTGACCTTCAATTGAAGCTTAAATAGCTGAATACAGCTAATTGTCAGAATAAATTGACTTGAGGATTTCAGAAATTTTCTCGTCTTATCTTTTAAATATTAAGAAATTGAAAATTACGCTCGCAGAAAATAGGAACTAATTAGAAATAACTGAAATTAAAATACATCAAATTTTCCAGCAATAATTTAAACTAATTTTTGATTAACCCTCGGACAGATGGCGTGATAGTCACACGCATGGCGGTTGCCGAGTTAAATACGACCCATTACTAAAATATTTTTCGAAATATTTATCGAAATATTTTTCACGCATGCGAAACCATATATATTTTTTTAATACTCATTATATTGTTTACAATTATACAAGTATATTATGATTAAAATCGTGATTCTGTTTCGAATGCTAATTGAAATAAGAGACATTTAAGAAGCTAGGTTAGGAAAGGTTAATCGTTTGTTGAAGATTTCATACTGACTAGTCTTCGTGTCAAAAAAATGTTCTCGGATAGTGAATAAATTCAGTCACTTTTTTTTTAAATGATTTAAACAAGGAAACTGTGAAAAAGAGATTCTTTCACACACGGAAAACGTATTCGCGGAGATTTGCAACAGACAAACAACTCACGAAAGAACAAGTACGAATCTTGTAACTTAACAAGATTGACTGGGGCATGGTTTGAAAAAATCACGGAGCGAAAAAAATTGCACGATCGGAAATGCAAACGAAAGAATGTATACGCGTTAATCACATCGGCGTAGCTTTATCGTGACGTAAATTCGTTATATCCGTGTTAACTGTGTTTCGTCAAACAAGAAACGAGAAGAACGAAAAATTGAAAAAAGAAAGGAAAACGCGGGTTTACGATATCGTCGTCACTTATAACGTAATATTTATCATCAAATCGTTAACGTAATTAAATGTCGAACGAACGGAGAAAACGATGTTTCCGCAGGCGGAACCGCGCGCGGAGAGAAAAATATTTCACGAGGTGTTTTCATTTATCCGTAATATATAACATTTCGGTAAATTGCATTAGCTCATCGCGGCGAGCAATATTTTAAAAAAGGAGACACGCTGTTTTTCGACCATTCGCGTGGCTTTTTTCCGACGTGAAACGCGCGAACATTTTGGATTTTTCGAAGGGAATAAAAGTGAATAATTATCCAATGCTATTATCAAACGGTCGAATAATATTTAATAGTGTGCAACATTTTCTCTACAGGGTGTCCCGTAACTCCTCGGACACCCGGAAATGGAAAAGTGAATAATTATCCAATGCTATTATCAAACGGTCGAATAATATTTAATAGTGTGCAACATTCTCTCTACAGGGTGTCCCGTAACTCCTCGGCCGTAACTCCTCGAACACCCGGAAATGGGGGGTTGCTGGGGTGACTCTGAACAACTTTTTCTTTACCAAAATGTTGTTTGAAGCTTCGTTTTTGAATTATTAACGAAAAACACTGTCCAATCAGAGCGCGCGTAGAGCCCGCGCTCAGGGGCGGAGAACAGAGGCTCATCCACGCGCGATGGAACAAATGCGAACGCGTGACTTCTCGGTTTTCGATCGCTCTTAAAGAAATTTGACTTTGCACTGCTATTTTTATAAGGCTTAGAGAAATGGTTTCTTGCCGTCATTTCGACGTTTGTATAAATTTTTGAAAAAACTGCAATTAGTCGGAATCGCGAAGAAAACAGCGAAGTCGTGAGCAGTCTTGTCACGTCATGTCACGACGTGTCACGTATATAATTGACATAGATCTACAAAGCTTCATTACGAGCTCAGATAAAAAAGTTGTAAAAACAACCTTCGCTATTTTCTTTGCCATTCCGACTAATTGCAGTTTTTTCAAAAATTTATACAAACGTCGAAATGACGGCAAACAACCATTTCTCTAAGCCTTATAAAAACAGCAGTGCAAAGTGAAATTTTTTTGACAGCGAAAATTTCATCGAAATCGGTTAATGTTGCTATGAGCTACAAACGGTTAAAGATTGTGAAATCCCTGAGCGCGGGCTCTACGCGCGCTCTGATTGGCCAGTGTTTTTCGTTAATAATTCAAAAACGAAGCTTCAAACAACATTTTGGTAAAGGAAAAAGTTGTTCAGAGTCACCCCAGCAACCCCCCATTTCCGAGTGTTCGAGGAGTTACGGGACACCCTGTATATCAAATTACATCGTTAAAAAGTTATTCGATTGTCCGACATTTTTCGAACAATGGAGAACGAAAATTTTTTTTCTTTATTCAATTTTTATCGCGTATTCATTTTATCGAGTTCGTCGAATTTCGTTCTTCAAGGAAATTTTAAACGAAGGAGAGAAAAAGAGGGGAGAAAATATTTTTGCAATGATGCGTAATAATTTTGCAGTGACAAATGATAATGGATATTCACAAACATTTTAAAGCGGTTGGCAAATACATAAAAAATTACTGATTTGCGTGCGTGCGAATCGTTTTTCACTCCACTATCAGAGTTTCGGAATTAAAATTGAAATTGCGTAACGTAAATATATTTTACACTCGTAGTAAAAAAATTGCAATCAGAACTGATGTACAATATTCACAGTGTACATTTTTAAACGATACCAAGAGATATGGTTTAGCAAACAGTCACAAATTCAGTGGAATTACAATTTCCTTTAAACCTTCTGGGATCGACAAATCAGCACAGTTTACCAAAAACAAAATGTAATAATAATTCTCAAGTACTGAGCACACAATTTACCAAAAACAATAATAATGAAAATAAAAATTCTAAAGTACTCAACACACAATTTACCAAAAAAAAAAGAATAATAAAAATAAAAATTCTGAATTAGTACCTAAACACACAATTTACCAAAAACAATAATAATAAAAATAAAAATTCTAAAATACTCAACACACAA